GTTTTCTGGTGGTTTATTGGAGATAGGAGTCTCACGGTCTCTCCTGCCCGGGCTGGTTTTGAACCGGGATCCTCAGATCTCAGCCTCCTGAGTAGCTAGGATTACAGGCGTGAGCCACCAGCACCCGGCTCAAATTCCATTTTTTAAAGTAAATTCTAAACACTCACAAGGTCTTCAGCATCTACCACTAAGAGATTTTAAAATATAAACACAATGTCACTGTCAATCTTTAAGAAACTTTTGTTTTCTTTTTCAGTGCTGGGGACAGAATTCAGGGCCTTGAGTGAGCTGGGCAAGCACACTGAGCCACATGCTCTAACCAGCAACATAAAAGCAATGGCACAGGATACTTTGGTAGTTTGAGGGAGAAGATGATCAGGATCTGCTTTCTGTGCTGCAAGTAGGTGGCAAAGGACATGATATTGACAGAAGACCTAGTGACAAATGTCCTTAATAGCTGAGGCGAGCTAGACACAGTGGTAGACACCTGTAGTCCCAGCAAGGCGGGAGGCTGTAGATAGAAAGATCATGAGCCAAGTTGGCCTAGGCAAAATCTTTAAGACCCTCCTTGAAAAATAACCAAAGCAAAAGGGTCAGGAGTGTGGCTCAGGTGTAGAGCACCTCCCTGGCAAATAGAAGCCCTAACTTCAAACCTCACAGTACTACCACCAAAGAACAAAAAACAAAACAAAACAACAACAACCAAAAAAAAACCCACCAAAGTTGAGGAGGTAAAGGAAACTCTACACCCAGACATTTGAGGGCAGGATTGCAGGAAGCAGGGCTGGAAAAGCTTGGAGGTAGTGTGGGTCAGAGAAAGAGAATAGAGCATGACCCAAGGAAATTTGACCAAGCAAATGGAATAATAGAATTGCCATTTAGAGGCTGAGATCTGCGGATCACGGCTCAAAGCTAGCCCAGGCAGACAAATCTGAGAGACTTTTCTCCAATTAACCAGCAAACGGCCAGAGCTGTACATATACTTCCAGCTTCCATAGTAGGCTGGGGCAGGATACCTGAACAATAGAAACTGAGTTATATTCATGCTATGAGACTGCTGGGTCACCATGGTGAGTAAAGAGGTAGATATTGGGGAGACTGCAAGTTTGAGGCCAGCCTGAGGGGGAAAAAGTGAGATTCCCCTCTATCTCAATTAATAAGCCAGGCATAGTGGCCCACACCTGTAATCCCAGGTATACAGGAGGCCATAAGTAAGAGAACCATAGTCTAGGCTGGCATAAGCCAAAAGCATGGGCCACTATCTGAAAATTAAGTAAAAAAGGTTGGGGGTGTTCAAATCCCTGTACCACTTAAAAAAAAAAAAAGACAAGGAACAAAAGGGCCCATGGATCAAGTGCTTATGAGCACCCCAACATTTAGCAACGGGGAGCACTGAGCTGCTACACACCCAACCGTGAGCTCAGGAAAACAGAAGGAATGCCAGGTTCCCTCACCTGCCCTTCTTTGATCAGGCGTTTGCACTGGAGGAAGTACCAATATGGGGTGTTCCTCCGGCCCTGCCATGCTTTGGGTTCTGTCTCCTCTTCTTCGTCTTCCTCCATATTCTGCTCTCTGAGCTGCCAGTTATACAACTCAGCTGTGGATTTCTGGAATATTCTCCGGGAGGAGTATTTGTCAGAAAGAGTTCCAAAGCTTTCTTCCTCCTCTTCTTCCTGAGGGGTTAGGGCATTGGGCTGACTGGGGTCACCGGGTTGGCTGCTCATGTTCTTCCGGCTCCCCTGCCCCAGGGAGCTGCTGAAGGTCGCTGACACTGGCCGTGCTGGCTGCAGGATCCTGGGCCAAACCAGCCCCTCCTTGCCTCCTGTCCACCAGACTCCACGAGGACCAAGGCATTGGAGGATGGACAGTCCCACAGGGCCAGGACCAGAGAAGAGGCGGGCAAGTCTCATAATATCCATGTCTGGCTTTCCTGTCCCACCTGGGCCTGGAATATTTCAAACAAATTAAGGAAGTCAAGTCAGATTCACAGTTACAAAGGCAGAAGACTTGGTAGTGGTTATATAAGGCCTGCCAATAATCAATCCTAGCCTCCTGAACCACGCCTCCAGCCTTGTTATTGGATGATCATTTTTGGAGATGGAGTCTCTAGGACTCCTATGCCTGGACTAGCCTCAAACCTTGACCTCTCCCAGATCTCAGCCTCTTGAATAGCTAAGATTACAAGTACGAGCTACTGGAGACTGGCAGCATGAAAATACCTTTAAGGTTTGGATACATTAGAAGGGCTCTGGGGTTGGCGGCATTGCTCAGTTGCTACAGTGCTAGTCAATGAGTGAAAACTTCAAGTACTGAGTTCAAGTCCCAGTCTTGGACCAAAAAAAAAAAAAAAGACAACACATCAATAACTGAGACTAGAGTGGAGTCGGACTGTAGTACAATAGCAGTGTACATATGTGCTGTACATGCATATGTGGTATACTAGTCTATGAAGTTTTCAAGGCATTAGATAACACAAGCCTATGGTAATTTCACAGCAGAAGTGCGCCTAAATGATAGCACGAGTGACCACCCTGTGTGGTAGCTGCACAAAATGTCTTCTGACAAATCATCCACTGCTAACATATTCTCTGCCAGTCAGGGAAGAAATGCTAAGGTTTACACGGGGGGGGGGGGAGTAAAGCGAGAGTTATCTTCCTATGAAATCCATTCTTTCTCCTAGGCTCGACTATAATCCCCCGCACTCAGGAGGCTGAATCGGGAGGATCGCGAGTTAGAGGCCTGCCTGGGTTTCCTAGTGAGACACCCGCCCCCCTCCACCGCACCCCAATCGACCAATCCAACTCCAGAATCACCGACACGCTGAAGATCCCACCTGCCCATCGCGCGGCCCTCGAGCGACCGCGACCCCCTTCTCCGCAGGCCCTCAGAGCCTGAGTTCCAGTCGAGCCCCAAGTTCCAGTCAGTCCTGGACTCAGGACTCTCGCTGCCACACGGGCCAGCTCTGCCAGGGTCTCAGAACTCCTGCGTGGATGGAACAGGAACTCACCGGAACGGCCGGGAGCCTAGAACGCCGTGCTGGTCCCCGCGCGGTCCTCAGCGCGTCCCCCGGGCGGTGACATCCAATACCTGAGGCAGGCGCCGCAGCCGAGGCTCGCGCAGGCGCAGTCCGCGTCTCGAGCTCTCGCACGCGCAGGGCTGGAGGTGAAGCGCCGCCCCGCCGGTGGCTCGGCTGTCTGCTAACTACGTCTGGCATCGTGGCCGTAGTCGGCCGCTGGATTGGCTTGGCCTAGGCCGGCGGAAGGCCAAGGCGCGCTTGGGGCGCTCCCGACATCCTTCGGGCGGCAGCGGCGGCGGCGGCGGCGGCGGCGGCGGCAGCA